GTTTTAGGACTGGATAAAGATTGGCAAGAGAAATTTTTCAAGGCAGCAGGACCTCCTGGCCTCCATTAATTCCCACCACCTGTCAGGGGCCTCTAATCATATTTACTGGAAAGACAGCTCTGATCTTCTTGATAAGCCACTTTGAAGCTCCATAGCCACTGGCTAGACACTCATAATTGGGTAGTTTAAGAAGACATTATCTCTCAGAGCTGGCTGTGATGGTCCACACCTGTAATCTCAACACTCAAGAGACTGAGGCAGGAGGATGGCCATGAGTTCGAGGCCAGCCTGGGCTATTTGGTGAGTTCAAGATCAGGCTGAACTACATGGTGAAACCCTGTGTTAAAAACAAAACAAGACATTCTCCCTCATTTTCTTTCCATAATTGGTGCATTGTAAATAGTAGACCTCCAGATGACAGGCAGATATTTGAAAATAGTATTTTTTCATCACCAAATTTTGCAGTTCCCACTTCCTAAACTTCTCTTACGATCAAAAACTGTTTAACAAGGGCTGGAGATTTAGCTCAGCAGCACCACACCTGCTTGGCAAATGCAAGGTCCTGAGTTTGATCCCCAATACAAAAAAACCACAAAAATAACCCCACCAAAACTATTTACCAAGCTTTCCTTGAAACTCTCTCATCCATGGCCTCTGACCCTCACACTCTAGAGTCTCTGTTTTCTACTATTTCCTACTCTTTTTCTGGTCCTTCTACCTCCTTCCAATTCCCTAAATATAGTCTTCATCAGTCAGGGTTCTCCCAAAAAAACACAACCAATAGGAGGTATATGTGTCTGGAAACTCAGACAAGAGTTGATGCTATAGTCTTAAAGCACAATTACTTTTTCTCTGGAAAATCTTTTTTTTTTTTTTTTTTTTTTTACCGGAAATTGAACTCAGGACCTTGCATTTGCCAGGCAGGTATCAGCACCACTGAGCTAAATCCCCAGCCTTTTGGAAAATCTTTGTGCTAAGGTCTTCAACTGATTGGTCCACCCACCTTACTGAGGAGAATCTCCTTTACTGAAAGTCAACTGAAGCCAGGCATGGTGGTGCATAACTATAATCCCAGCACTGGGAGGCTGAGGCAGGAGGGTAGAAAGTTTAAGCCCGACCTGGACAACTAACAACTTAGTTAAACCCTGTCTCAAAATGAAAAATATAGGAGGCCAAGGATGTAGCTCAGTGCAGACCCCCTGGGTTCAATCCTCAGTACCAGGAAAAAAAAAAGATATCTTTATAAGAACACCTAATATTTTACTTGATTAAATAACTGGGTACTACAGTGAAGTTGACACATTAACCATACATACTTTAGCAAACACCAAAACATAGGTTTTCCCCCAAATTCTCTCCTCTGTCATCTTTTTTTTTTTTCTGCCGTACTGGGGATCGAACTCAGGACCTTGCGTTTGGTGAGGCAGGCATGGCGCCACTGAGGTAAATCCCTGGCCCAGTCATTTTTTTTTCCCAAGCTCATTTTCCTTAGGACAGACAGATCTCAAAAATAGTTGAAAACAATGTCAGTGCTCACACTTTACCCTCCAAACCTTCAAATCTGCTTCTCTCTCTCTCTCTGCCTTTATAGAGGAAACTTCGTTAATTATTTACTTTAATAGTTTCAGAAAGAGGAACAGAATAGTTCAGCCCAACATGACTGGCAGTTGGCAAAATCTAGTGAAGCAAGTGTTCTCTAATTGCTAAGGATTTAATTTGTATGCTTTTAATACCTTGCCATCTAACACTTCAAAAATAATCCAGAAAGGGGCCAGGGATTTAGCTCAGTGGTTTCACCGCCTGCTGCACAAGCGCAAGGACCCAAGTTCCGTCCCTGGTACCAAAAAAGAAAAAAAATCCAGAAAAAATGCATCATCTAACACTGCCCCTACCTCACTTCATTATGGAAACACGTTCACTACATGATTCTCAGAGGAAACTACATTAACTTGTTCCCAAAGGAACAAGTTCCCTGGAGAATAGAGCCATGAAGACAGTGCATAAAAGAAAACTTCAAAATAAAACTCTGTGATAATTTACCCGTCTAAGGAAACAAAACCTTCCGATATATTAAGAAACGAATTCAGTTACAAATGCACTAATAGGTCTATGTGGAGAGGTCTGTGAACAACTGAAAATGGCCAGGTATTTACAAGATACACAATCAAGAACAGTGCACTTAGCCCAGTGTTGGCCCTCAGAAGCCCAAAGTGTTCTCTCTGCTGTAGACTACAATATAAGAATCCATCTTCATCCTTTTCCTTCTTGTAAAGGAAGGCTGGATCACATTTTTAGGAGGAAGCTGGATCCATTATCTCATGATCCAATGGAAATGAGCCACAGTGATGTCAGATGGAAGCAAGTACTTTCATTTCAGCATCAGCAACCTGAAAGCCTGAGACTTTTTCTACAATCGCTGGAACTCAATCAGGATAGTTTTCTCGGATCTTCAAAGATTCTACGCATCAGTGTTCCAGTGAGTGGCCCTCCCTGAACATCCACTTCATGGCAGTGGTGGAGAGGGGACCGAGCCAGCTCTGAGCCTTGAAGTTCAGCGAACTGACCACGGCCACCCAAATCTGCTTCCTAACTCCCATGTCAACACCACTTGTTCGATTCCAAAATCCTTGGAGGCATTCCTGATTTTTCTTTCTCTCATCATCTGTCTTCCTTCAGCAAGTCAGCATTGCCATTAAACAATGTCTGAAATCCAGTCGCTTCTCATCACCAGTCAAAGCTGCTGTCACCTCTCTCCCAGACTATCATAAGCATCTTCTCTTCCGTCCCTGCTGGAGTCCACTGTTCAGAACAAATCAGGTCACATCACCCTTCTGATAAAACCCCTTTCTGTGACTTCCCTCTGTGCCTTCCAGGACCTGTCAGTTCTGGCCCTACCTCTGTCCCTTGGTTCCCTACACTGGGCTGTGCTGACTTGCTCCTGGTCCTCAATGCCACCCTCAGGTCTGCCTTGCCCTTCTCCAGAGCCCATGTTTTGCTCCTCTTCACTCAGGGGACGACACCAGGGGACCATCTCTGGCTTCCCCACCTAAAGTAGCCCCACCACATCTCCAGTCAGTCTCGATCTTACCACCCTGTTCATTTTTGTCAACCACCAACCGAAACAATCTTAGGCATTTTTTTTTCTGTTTCCCAGTGCTCATGTACGTTTTATGGTGGGGCAGGAGGAGATGATGTAGAGGAGAGGCATTTCCTTTTTATATGCCAGTCTGTGGTGGCCGTGAGAATGTACTTTGCCGCCTTCTGAGGGTCATTAACTAAGGGGCCCAGCAGTTGTGCTCTGAAAGCTTTTACCGTACTCACTGCACGTTCACAAATATCTCCCAGACAATAACTTGACATGGCAGGATAGGAGGCAGAAAAGGGTTAGGACACAAAGCCCTTACCTGACAGTTGGCTTTGGCCTGAGGACTCGCCCTCTACAGGCAAGGACTCCACCTGCTGAGTTGGCCTTGGACTGAGCAGCTTGCACCCATCCTGGCGTCTGTATCCCTTCAGATTCAGCAGTGCATCTTGTTGGGGAAATGCTGCAGCCTCCTCTGGCAAATCTCATCCAGATTTTTTTTTTTTGGAGACAGGGTCTCACTATGTAGTAAAGGCTGGTCTTGAGCTCACTATGTAACGCAGGCTGGCCTCAAATTACGGAGAGCCTCTTGCCTCAGCCTCCCGAGTGCTAGGATTACAGGTGTGCGCCACCACGCCCAGCTTTTTTTTTTTGCAGCACAGGGGATCGAACTCAGGACCTCGCGCTTAGGAGGCAGATGTGGCACCACTGAGCTACATCCCCTGCCCTATTATTTATTTTTTTATTTTCCTTGTTATTTATTTATTTATTTTGTACCGGGGATCGAACTCAGGATCTTGTGCTTTGCGGAAGACTGCGACACCACTGAGCTAAATCCCCTGCCCCTTGTTATTTATTTATTTATTTTCCTTATTATTTATTTTTAACAGAAAAAAGTTTTAATCTTAGACTTAGTGAGAAAATAAAAAAGAATGCCACCTTAGGTAGCTGGACCGGGAACATTCTGACAGGAGGGTTCAGACAGAACCCTCAACTTTGTTTTTTAAAGTTGAGTAAAAGTAACTTCTTACAAATGTATAATGTGTTTTCTGTATCTATGATTTCCCATAGTTCTTTTTTATGTCAAGTGTGCATTTTTCTTTTATTTATTTATTTATTTTGGTACCGGGGATCCAACTCTGGACCTTGCGCTTGCGAGGCAGGCAGTGAAACCACTGAGTTAAACCCCTGGACCTTTCTTTTATTAATGATTAACCATTTTTTCGTTTTCCTAAATCCCTAGACTAGTCCTTTGATACTAATTTTCTCAATTCATTAATTTCTTTTCTTTACTAATTTCTTCCTAGTGTTTTCTTCGTGTTTATTTTTCTAATCCTTCAATTGGATGTTTACTGTGATTTTTCGTAGGACTTCTGCTTTTGTATCAGATTAGCACAGTGTTTATAGTATCTTTTCATTTTCTAGATATTCTGCAATTTCGACTTTGAACTTCTTTTTCCTAATAGTCAATTAGAACACGTTTTTTAGTGGTAGGATTATTTTTGGTACCGGGGATCGAACTCGGGACCTTGCGCTTGTGAGGCAGGCGCCGGAACCACTGGGCTAAATCCCCAGCCTTCAGTGGTAGTTTTGTTATTTTATTTCATTCTTGAGGACGCTGGAGGTTCGTATTTTGTTCTCTACCTCCGTTTGGCTTTTTCTCCAGGGCTAGTGCTTTCGTCAGAAAGGTCACGGAGGGAGAGTTCTCCCCAAGCGGAACGAGTGCGTGGGAAGCCCACGGCCACACACAAAAACCCTTCCAGGAGTCTGCTCTGAGCACAAGGGGCGCGGCCGGATGAGACCACACCTCCGTGGGTACGCGGCCCGATTGGCCAATCGTCGCCATTGACGCCCTCTTCTGTTTTTTGATTGGCTCTCATGAAGACACCCCCCCCTTCCACTAGCAATTAGGTCCGACGGTGGGCGGCAAAGGACAGTAGGTTTACGCAGCCGAGGAAAGAGTTTGTGTGTGTGAAATTCAGTGTTTACATTCTACTGCCATTTTCCCGGGATATGGCACCCTCCGCAGTATCTGTGCTGCTGGTGGCGGCAGAGAGGAATCAGTGGCAGCGTCTCCGGAGCCTGCTGCTGCCTCCTAGGTAACGATGGGCGGAGGGAGGTGGGTGAGTGAGCGTGGACCAAGGCCGCTGGTGCACGGACCCGCGTGATCTGTGGGAGGTGCGGGGTCGAGGGTCGGGAAAACCCCAGCCCCTTTCCGGGGGATTCTGTCGGTCTTTGTAGCACATCCACCGCCTACTCGCTCTTGGCTTCTCATTTTCCTTTATGAAGACCTGGGCAGAGGTGGAGCCGGGCCTGCCTTCCTGCGTTTGGGTCGGTTTTTTGCAGCAGTGCTTGCGTGGGACGTGGTTACAATCCAGTTCTGTCGAAGTTCAAGGGGGAATCAAAGATCTGCCCAAGACTACACTATAGTAAGAGCTAGGGCTTCGATGACCTCAAAGCCCGCCTCAAACTATCCCGCAACCCCTAAGAATCCTGGGGGCTTTTTTTCCCATTGTCGGAATGAGTCAAGTTAACGAGCAAATTTACCTTTCAGAGTGCTAGGAAGTTTTATCAAAAGCTCTTGTACCCAAGTTCGAACAAAGCTATCAGGTGACTCACCAGCAACCTGACTTAAGATCCGTTTCAAATTTTGAGCTCCAGTGACAGTAACTTTGGCAGTGGAAACACCTGTGAGTTTGCAAGTAGTAGCTTCCTTTCCTTCATTGTTACCATCATTCTCCATTATTCCGGAAGGACGTGTAGCTTAATGTTGAAGGGCACAGACTACAGTCAGAAGGCTGGGATCTGTTCACTAGGTGTGCCCTTGGCTGAGTTGCTTAATATCAGTTTCCTCACCTAGAAGGAAGTGATGATGTTGGTACTTTAACTTATACAAATTAACATATGGAAAGAAGTTAAACCGAATCAGGTCCAATAAATCTATCCATAAACAGAGCCTTCATAGACTCAGTCACCTAGATCAACTATTTTGTTGGCTTGTATTTTCCACGAATGATTGTAGATGCCTTGGCTTTTCACAGAACTAGCTCCCAAGCAAAATAAGAAACTTGGTGAAAGTGAGGTTAGTACTCTTCTCTTTGTCCTGACATTTCCTACATTCCCAGGGCTCTTCGGGATGCTACCACAGACCAGTTTTCTCTTTTTTCTCTCAGAGCTGGACTAGAATGATTCTCACCTAGCTGTCACCTGGAGAGTGTTAAACCTCTTAATGATTGATAGAATAAAATTTTATCAGTATGAGGGTTTTACATTTCTTTTTATGCAATGGTTCTCTAAATGAGTCAGAGACAAGAATCTCCAGTGGTGGGATTATAGGCATGAGAATAGAAGTTATCTTTAGTCAGAGTGTAATTAGCTCATGGAAGCAATTTCTTAATCTTGTCACTTCTTCAGTTGTAGCTTAGATAATTGTGAAAAAATGAAATAAACCAATCAGAACATTGTTGGGATAGAGGTTTATAGTTGTGTATTATTATTTTAGGGGGGGTTAATTTTTTTGAGTTCTTTATGTATTCTATAGATATGAGTCCTCTGAGGAATAGCTGGCAAAATTTTTTCCCATTCTGTAATTGTCTCTTCACTCTGTTGTTTCCTTTGCTATGCTTTTTAATTTAATATGATCCTATCTGTTGATTTTGATGTTACTTCTTGTGCAATTGGGGTTCTGTACAGAAAGTTCTTGCCTACATCTGTGTCTTCAAGAATTTTACCTATTTTATCTTCCAGCAGATTGTGTTTTATTTTAACACTTAGATCTGTGATCCATTTCGATTTTATTGTAGTACATGTTGAGATATACTGTGCTTTTTTATCTTGTGCTTTCTAAAGAATCTAAAATGATCAGTCCTTATAACCATGATTTTGCCACATTTTCCAGATATAGATGGAAAAGACTAAGGTGGGATTGCTTCTGCAGTTTGTTGGTTTTCCAGCATATTCTCTCAAGCTGAAAACTAATAGGTATTACATTCTTTAATTCTCAAAGTGAATCTGGCCTGGATTCTGTCAGCTCTTGGTTAACTTATTGTATAAGTAGGTATCATAGAACTTAAAGATTGCCGTAGATCTTCTCAGGTTTCTGTCTAGTTAAGACACCTCAGACAAGTCATTCTGCTACCCTGCTTCTCCACTTTCCTTTAATAGAAGGACTTGGGATAGAATAGTATATTTTTAAAACTGAGAAGTATCTTCAGGATCACTTCTTTCAGTCTTCTCTCCTGTATGAAGACACTGAACCCAAGGTACAGAACATACGCACCAACTGGGATGCTATCCAGGGTCAAAAAGTGGTTCTTGGGGCTGGGGATTTAGCCCAGTGGTTCCAGTGCCTGCCGCGAAAGCGCAAGGTCCCGAGTTCGATCCCTGGTACAGACAAACAAACAAAAAAAGTGGTTCTTGGGAAAGTAAAAACATCTTAGATGTTATCATGGTTTGTGGTTCCATAAAGCTCAATCCTTCCTATAAAATCTTACTCCTCAGTATATAAATCTTTTCATTAGGAATAAAATAATGGTCGGGGGAAGGTTGAGAAACACTGATGTAAATTAACTTTACCTTGGAGGGTCTCAGATAAGAGCTCAGTTCGTGTGGCGCCACATGTAGCGTGATTTCTGTCTGCTGTCCTTGTTCAGTTTTCTTCTGTTTTCTTCTCTGGTCTGAATGTTAATCCTGCCTTATCAGAAGATTGAGTTTGATTAGTATTTTTCAAACTAGTTTGACTAGCATAAGTTATTTAATACAATAGAAAATGTCAAAATGCAGGGTGAATCCACTTCTGTGAAACCTAATTGTGTCCGTACCAGGTAGTTTTTACTGTGAGCTGTAAGTTATAATTAAAGATGTTTGAAAAAAAGCCTAAATAGATGATCTTAAAGCATGTTGGCTTTTTATTTGTCTCTGACTCTGGTTAAATGCCAGTGTCAGGTATAAACAGGTTAGAACTTGCAGTGCAAGGGGAAAAGAGTCAGAAATCTAACTCTTTCTACAAAGAAAAGTGTTGTTAAATCACTTTGTTAGAGGGCATAAGGTTTTTGTTTTTGTTTTTAGAGACAAAGCCTTGCTATGTAGTTCAGGCTGGCCTTGAATGGGCTGTATAGTCCAGGCTGGCCTGGAACTCACAGCCATCCTCCTGCCTCAGCCTCCTGAGTGCTGGGCTAACAGGTGTGTGCCCCGCTGGTTTAATTGAGATTGTATCTAGATTTGGTTTCGTGTTTTTAAATTTTTGGATTGTTTTGAAAGAACAATGATTGATCCTGTATATTCTGATTAATTATAATTTCATTTGGATTTGTTTTGTAGAGAATGGACTTGGAAGCAAAGAAACATGAAATACACAACAACCACAGGTACTGACAGACTTTATTGTTGTATTTGACTTGGCTTCAAACTGAACTAAGAAAGAAAAATGTGTTTTTTTTTTAATTTTTAAAAATTTATTTCTTTTTTATTTAAATGTATTTTTGGTACATTAAAGCTGTACATAGTAATGGGGCAATATGTGATGTTTTGATGCATGTATCTTATTTTTAAAAAATTTTTATTTTATTGGTACATTTTAAGTATACAAAATAATGACATTCATCATTGGAGATATGCACCTTTACATACTCTCTTGGTTCTTATTTTTTCCTCCTTCCCCAACCCTCCCTTCAACCCCTCCATCCCTCTGTATTTACAAAGACTTTGTTTCCATTTTTTCATTTTCTCATATTAATTCCATTCCCTTCTTAAGAAAGAAAAATGTTTAATTTGTAATTTATGCATGATAGAATTAGTTCCCACAAAACTTTTAAGTTTTGGATTTTTTATGATAATTTTCTTACTAATTACTAAGTCAGGTTTTCACTTGCTTTATATCAAATCTCCCTTGCTGTTGAGCCTAAAATATAGGAGGTAATAATGGAGAATATTTTATATTTATGTTGTTATTTTAGTCTGTACAGCAAATCAACTTGGAAAAGCATAACTATGGTGGTCTAAATCAATGCTTTTGAAAGAATTCTTTTAGGTAAAGGAAGTTTTTTTTTTTAAAAAAATAGAATTTTAGGCTGTGGAAGCACAAGGACCCGAGTTTGATCCCCAGTACCAAAAAATAAATAAATAAATAAATAAAATAAAATTTTAGGGATTTTTTTTTCCACTATAAAATTTATGGAGTGCTGTAAAAGTTTATATTCTGGTTGATTGCCTGTAACCTTCTACTTCCCCCTTAGCCATGCTCATAAATAGTTCATCCCGGCAGATCCTGTAGCCTGTGAGAGCTCTTGGACTATATAGATTCTTGTCCTATAGAACTTTATTTTTTGAGAATAACTTTATTATAAACTGCCAAAGAACGTCTCTTTTCTGTGTGATGACAGAAATATGTGCTATATATTAATACAATAGCATGTCATTGTAATGGCAGTAGATGGATGCAGTGGGCGTCTCCACTGGAAGCGAACTACGCGGTCACATGTGCATGGGACAGAGTAACTTGGAGTGCAGGTTCTGGAGTGAGGCAGACTTGCGTCCAAATTCTGGACCCCCCACTTCTTTTAGCTGTATAGTTTTAAGAAGGCACTATCTTGTTCACCCTCAGTTTCTTCATCTGTAAAACAATGTATAATAGATAATGTATATTCACAAAAAATAATTGATTTGTACTGAACATGTACAAACTTTTTTCTTGTCAGTATTTCCTAAATAGTACAATATAACAACTATTTCTATAGAATTTACATTGTATTAGGCCATGAGAAGTAATCTAGAGGTAGAGGACATGTGTAGGTTATATATAAGTACTATGCTATTTTATCTAAGGAACTTAAGCATCCAGGGAGTTTTGTATCCACCGGGGGTCCTAAAATCAATCCTGCAAGCATACGCAGGAATACTGTACTGTACCGTACTTTATGAGGACTAATATTGTTACGCTTCAGTTGAGTGGGCCAAAAAATAGTCCAGGTTCTTGTGTATGAAAAGGAAAGAATTGCCATACCTTGGAGTATGTTCTAAGTAGCTACATTTATTGAAGATCACAGGACGGTAGCAGGAACAGGGAGAAACATGAAGGGAAAAGAGCATGACTGGGAAAAGGGACTCAAGGGCAAAAGGAAAAAGGGACTCAAGTGTGGAGGACAAAAAGGGGCTGAATAACTCAGGCTTCCAGTATTTACAGGGCCAGACACCTCTGATCCCAGGCACCCTCTTCTCTCATTGACCTGCAATCTGTGTGACCTCCTGAGCGTAACTCTGGACAATCATTAGAGTGGTGTTACGTTTACAGTGAGTGAAGGGCAGGGAGTGACTCCTTCGGCTCCTTTATTTCTAACTGTACTAATATGAGAATTAAAGTTCCAGTTGACTCCTTAGCAGAAGACCTGGGTCATAGGTAGTACTAATTAAAAATGAGTTGTTACTATTAACTAAGGCAATTTTGAAAGCTATTATAATTTTACCCTTTTCATAACAAAGTACTTTTAATTTTAAGTTGAAAAACCTAGTAATTTAAGAGTTTATGTTAATGGAGGTACCTTGGATTTCCATGAAAGAAATGCACTGTCAAATATTAGTTAAAATGGTGATTTTAGGCTCCAGTATGCTGATTTTACCAAAACAAACTCTCATCAGCTAGCTACTAGCATATTCTCACTCACATGTCTTGCTCCTCAGTAACATTTCTGTATGATCTTCATGTTATTTTCAACAGGAAGAAACATTACCAAGGTCCTCATTGCAAACAGAGGAGAAATTGCCTGCAGGGTGATTCGAACAGCCAAAAAAATGGGTTTGCAGTCTGTGGCTGTTTACAGTGATGCTGACAGGAATTCCATGCATGTGACTATGGTATGTTGTTAATATTTGTTTGTTTGTTTTGTTTTTTTGGTACCCGGGGGATCTAACTCTGGGACCTTGTGCTTGTGAGGCAGGCACTGGAACTGCTGTGCTAAATTCCCCGGCCCTGTTGTTAATACTGGAAGCCACATCTTGTAAGTGATCCCATTTATTGGTTTATTATGTCAGTTTTAACTTTTTCCTTTTTTCTTTATTTATACTCTTTATTATTTGCTAGTATAATAGGGTTTAAGTAGGAATGTTCCAACTGCTTGTTAATAATTCTTGGAAGCACTTTTAAAATATAGCAGTTGAACTAAACAGTGTGCTTAGTCTCATAATTGATAAATGGACAAAACCCAAAAACTTTCGCTCTAAAATCAGGAACAAGACAACGATGTCCACAGTCATCACTGTTATTCAATATAGTTCTGGAAACGTTAGCCAGAGCAATTAGATAAATGAAAGAAAAAAAGGAATAAGGGTAGAAAAGGAAGAAGTTAAATTGTCATTATTTGCAGATGATGCGATACTCTACATAAAAGACCCCAAAAGCTCCACCAAAACACTTTTTGATTTAATAACCAAATTCAATAGCATAGCTGGATACAAAGTCAATACTCAAAAATCAATAGCATTCCTGTACACAAGTAATAATCTCACTGAGAGAGAAAAAGTCTGTGCCCTTCTTGCTGACTTCTCGCGTAGGATAGATAAATCAGTTCTGTGGTTCTGTATGTTGATATCTCATAGGTAGTGGTGGGCTGGCAAGAGTAGAAGATGATGAATTCTTTGATCTCTCCAGTTTTATACTATTTAGCTTAAAAGCATTGACCTTAGGGTTGAGGTTTGTAGCATATCTCAGAATTAGAGAAGACAAATGTAAAATTCATTTGGTAGCAGAAGAGACCTACAATAGAAAAAGCAATTCTTTGCAACAAAGGCAAGGCGGGGAGCATCACAATCCCTCACTTGAAACTATACTACAAAGCTACTGTGATAAAAACAGCATGGTACTGGCAAAAGAAACAGACCTGAGGATCAATGGAACAGTCCAGAAGATGCAGAAACAACTCCAAACACTCAGCCACCTCATCTTTGACAAAGGAGCCAAACACTTTCACTGCAAGAAAGATACCCTCTTTAGTAAATGGTGCTGGAAAAACTGGCTTTCCACCTGTCGCAGATTAAAAGTAGACCCAAGGGGCCGGAGATTTAGCTCAGTGGTTCTGTTGCCTGCCTTGCAAGTGCAAGGACCCGAGTTCAATCCCCGGTACCAAAAAAAAAAAAAAAAAAAAAAAGTAGACCCATACCTTTCACCATGCACTAAACTAAAATTGAAATGGATCAAAGATTTAAATATTAAAACAAACACTAAATCTGCTGGAAGAGAGAATAGGTAGAACTCTTGAAGACACTGGTGTAGGCAAAGACTTTAGGAACAAAGCCCCTATCACATAGGGAATATAACAAAGAATCAACAACTGGGATCTCATCTTATTAAAAAGTTTTTGCACAGCAAAAGAAATCACCAACAGAGTGAAGAGACAACCCACAGAATCTGAAAAAACCTAAATAAATAAATAAGCCCTTCTCCATTGTTGGTGGGAGTGTAGACTGCTGCAACCACTGTGGAAATCAGAGTGGAGATTCCTCAAAAAACTAAAACTAGAGGTTTCTTTTGACCCAGCTATTCCCCTACTTGTTATCTTCCCAAAAGAATTAAAAGCATCACACAACAGCGATATATGCACACCCATGTTTATAGCAGCACAATTTGTAATAGCTAAATCTTGGAAACAGCCCAGATGCCCATCAACCAACAAATAGATAAAGAAGATGTGTGTTTTTTTTAATACAATGGTGTACTACTCTGCCATAAAGAGATATAAGCTTGAGACATTTCTAGCTAAATGGATGACCTTGGGCAGAGGACCGTAATATTGATTATGCCCAAAGCAGGCTGTGAAGAGTTAACCCTACAACTGGCTTGTTTGTAGAAGTGAGTCTGGCTGAAGCCTACATGCCAAGGTCAGAGTAACTCGCACCCAAATTCCATTCCTACAACTAAAACATTCAGACTAGAAGGACAATGTTCTAATTACAACCATATATTTTGTCTCTTCTAATTTGACAGTGCTTTGTCTTGTCCTTTCTGAGCCTTGTTTACATTAATTGCCATAGAAACCACTCGTCACCTTTACCCCAATTGATTGCCAATAAAGTCAGTGCCTGGGACTGTCCAGCACCTTTGTCGGGTGCACCGGCATTGGTCGTCCTGGCACCCCGCTTTCTCTTTCTTAGTTCTGTCTCTTAGTGTATTCTTTTTCTCACGCCTGGGTTGCACACTGGGCAGATGGGTACTGGAACCTGACTACAGGGGTCTCCAGCACCTTGAGAGCATATGCTTAAGTGAAATAAATTGGACACGTGTTTAAATACCACATTGTTTCACTGGTGTGAGAAACCAAAAGTGGAAATAAGGACCAAAGTGTATAATAGCCTACAGCAAGCCTCCAAGCACCAACATAATTCACAAGGGCAGGTTCATCTGGGCTTTTTCTTTTTTTTTTTTGGAACCAGGGATTGAACTCTGGTCCTTCCACTTGTGAGGCAGGCGGTGGAACCACTGAGCTAAATCCCCGGCCCTGGGCTTTCTTTTTTTGAGGCGCGGTCTTGCTATGTAGTCCAGGCTGGCCTCAAACTTGCACAGTCCTCCTGCCTCAGCCTCCCAAGTTCTAGGATTACAGGCGTGTGCCACCATCCACCTGGTTTCACATGGGCTTTCGTCACTACATATCCAGAGCACTTTGGACACTTCTCTTTCTTTCTGTACAGGGATGATTTCAAATCTGTTTTGCTTCATTCCAGTCTTTCATCCTCCCTCTACCCACCTATTCTCATATGATCTTGATTTCATAAAGAAAATAGAACTAGGGCCGGGGATTTAGCTCAGTGGTTTCGCTGTCTGCTGCGCAAGCGCAAATGCAAGGACCCGAGTTTGATCCCTGGTACCAAAAAAAAAAAAAAAGGAAGAAAATAGAACTGCGCTTCCTGCCACAGGATCTGCTGCTCTACCTGCATCTGCAGCCACCCCCTGCCCCATCATCCTGGTCACAGAGTCCTCTTCCTCTTGCCTTTTTGAGAATTTTTCTGAGCTAAGTATGTAGCTCAATGGTAGAGTATGCACTTGGCATGCCTAAGGCTCTGCATTCAATGCATAACACCATACATACAAAAAAGAATTTATCCAAAATAACTAAGAGCATAAGTTCAGTAATTACCTCTTTTGGTGGAGGTGCTGGGGATTATTAACCCAGGTCCTCATGCATTACTGTAGGCAAGTGCTTTCCCACTGAGCTACATACCCAGCCCCTATGTCTCACCAGAAAAAATACTAGGTAAGTAAGGTGATAGATATGTTCATTAGGTTAATTATTCCATATTGTATGCATATATCAAAACATTACACTGTACCCCATATATATATATACAATTATAATTTGTCAACTAATAAAAACTATAAATTTTATTTTATTTTTATTAAATATATCATGACATTACATTGTACCCATGTGTATACAAATATGTTTTGTCAGCTAATAAAAATGAACAAAACTATACATTCCTACTTCAAAAATATCTTCTATTTTCAGTGATGTGTCTCCACTCAGTCTCCATTAGATCCTTCCTAACAGCATTTCAATGTAGCATGGTCTTTCCATTTTCATTACTATCTCTGGTCGCACATTTCCCTCTCCCCGCCAACGCTGTCTTTCTTTTCCCGTTTATTGCCGGTTTCAGAATCCTATGCTGCGGTCTGCTTTCCTCCTGCTGAGCTTGTGTCCTCTCTCCTCCCCTCACCTGTCTCGGGTATGGTCATAAGATCGTCCATCCCTAAATCTGCTGGAGTCTTTTCAGGTCTGAAATAACTTGACCTCATAGTGTCATCTAACACCACATAAACTATAAGAAATAAATTCTGCTTGGCCTTCATGACCTCTGACCCTTCTGTCCTCTCTCTGTGTCTTTTCTTAGGTCTCTACTCATCTTAATGAACTTTAACGCTCAGTGTTGAAGTTTTTTAGGGCTTTGTTCTTGTCCCTTTTCTTGTCTCGCTTTATTCTCTCCTTCCAGGTCATTTCACCCACTTGTGTGGCTTTGCAAAAAACTCCCAAATTTCTGTTTCTTTTTTTTGGTACCAGGGATCGAACTCAGGACCTTGCACTTTCGAGGCAGGCGGTGGAACAACTGAGCCTAATCCCCGGCCCCCAAATTTCTGTTTCTAGCCTGGACTTCCTTTTGAGCATAGTACTCGGATACCTAGGTGCCTGCTCTGTGTCTTCATTTTGATGTCACAGGTAAACTAATATGCCTGGCTCCTGCCCTTCCTCTTGTACTGAAACTGCATTTTTTTGGTAGACTTCCCTCCCTATTAGCTGACAACACCTTTGCTTATAAAAACAATCATGCCAGAGGTCTGGGCATTTTTAGACATCCATGCCTCTTTCCTATTCTATATTCTCTACCCCTCTTTCCATCTGGAAAAATCACCATATCCTGTTAATTCTGCTTCCCAGGTGTTTCTTCCCATTCCCTTCTGCTCTCCGTCATCTGCCCTGAGTCAGACCGCTGTCATCTCTTTCCCGGGCCAATGCTGCGGCTCCTAAGTAGTGTCCGTACTTCTCTTGACCTCTCTCCTGTGATCCATTTTCTGCATTTCAACCAGACAGAGTTTAAAGTAAAAATGTGATCTTATTTCTCCCCTGCTTTAAATACCTTTACGTAACCTACCAGCTTAGAAATAAATTAAAAGGCGGCTAATACTTAGTGTTGATGAAGGTGGTTAGAATTGTATGCTAATGGATATGTATGTTGGTAAAATTACTTCAAGAGCCATTAAAATGTGCATATCCTTCAGCCCAACCCTACAAACTCTCCTCCAGGTGTGTGTCCCACAGCTGTGCTCACATATGTGTCCAAATAGAGATGTGTACAGAAATGTCTGCTTCAGCCTTGTGCACTACAATTGAAATGCACACGAAGAGGCTCATGATTGAATGAACTATGGTGCCTCTGTACGGGGGGAACCTTCTACGAACGTTAAGCAAAGTGAGGTTGGCCTGTGTGTACCGCCAAGGAAGCAGCTCCGAAAACATATTTCTAGTGACAAAAGCCATTGCAGAAGATAATTATATAGTGATTCTATTTGTGTGAAAAGAAAATGAAAACTATTTCCATAAATATATTTGAATAAATAGGAATATAGATCTGGGAAACTATGTCCCAAATTGGTCATAGTGGGAGTTATATCTAGAAGGGCATTGCAGTGAGGGGAGGTTGTTAAAGGGCTGCTTTGCCTTTGTATGACTGTTCTCATTTTTGTTTTTTTTCTTTAGACAAGGTCTCACTATGTAGCCCAGGCTGGCCTTGAATTCACAGTGATCCTCCTGCCTCAGTCTCCCAAGTGCTGGGATTACAGGTGTGTGCCACCACATCTGGCACATTCTTTAAAATGTGAATGAATTTGTGTTTTCTGAAAATAAAAGTAAAAATTTTTCTCATATCTCCTTATGTATTTCCGTAGGAGACAATCCAGAGCTTTTTAGCCTCCCCCAAAGCCTTTCCTGTGAATTCTGCCCTACTGTCATCTAGCATGTTATGGTTGAGATCTAGAATGTTCCCCCCAAAACCTCCTGTGTTCAGGGGCAGGGCTTTTGGAAGGTGAGTGGATCACAGGGGCAGTGGATCAGCCCACTGATGCTGACTAGCTGGTGGGAGGGACCTGGTTAGATCCGGTCATGGGGATGAGCTGGGCAGGTGTGTGTCCCTCACCATTCCTCTTCAGTCTCTCTGCTTCCTGCCGACCATGCTGCCAGCAGCTCTCCTCTGCCCGCACCCTCCCATCATGCTGTCTCTGTGTTGGAGCCTGCCAACCATGGACTATAACTTCTGAAATTGTGAGCCAAAAGAAACCTCTCCTACTTTAAGTCGAAGGTGTAACATATTGTGCCTCTTCTGCCAGGTGTGGTGGCACACACTTGTAATCCCAGCACTCGGGAGTCTGAGGCAGGAGGATCATGAAAGTTAGAGGCCAGCCCGGCTACATAGTGAGTTCAAGGCCAGCCTGAACTACATGTTGAGATCCTGTCTCAAAAACAAACAAAACATACTGTGCCTGGTTGACAAGGAAGGTGACTCAGACACAGCCTCATCTTGGTCCCTTGGCCCGTTGCTCACTGTGTTCCAGCTACACAGTCTCCATCATTGCTCAAACAGGCCAGGTCTCTTCCCACCTCAGGAACTTCATATGTGATGGTTTTTTTCTGCCCGGGAGGCTCACCCCATCTCCACTCTGTTCTCAGTTTCCACAGTCTCCCTCCATTTGCCAGACTGAGTCCCGATCATCCTTGAGAAACCTTCCCTGACTTTCCTGGCCTGTCCTGACCACTTTAGACCAGATCTGGGCTTCCTGTTACATCCATTCTGTCATTGGTTTTTCTTTTCACATCTTTATGACAGGTATCATCAAGAGTGTGAATGGTTGCTGTCTGTCCCTCCCCCTGGATGGGGCATTTGTGTGTTCACTGCTGTGCAGGCAGCTCGCACCCCAAAGCATGACACATAGTAGGTACCCAGTAAGTCTTTGAATGTTTTCTGTATCTCCGCTTTTAGAAGTACTGTGATTCATATAAAAGTTTTAAGGGACAACATAAGATCACTCACAAATGTATAAAAGAAACATCATAACACTAATAACTATAGATACTTTACTAAACTCTTAACTTTTTTTCTTGCTACATGCATCAGTTATATATTTTGTATCTGTTTTCAAGATGTAACTTTTTGGCATTAAATACATCTAAGATTGGGCCGGGGATTTAGCTCAGTGGTTTTGCCACCTGCTGTGCAAGCGCAAGGACCCAAGTTCGATTCCCGGTACCAAAAAAACCCCAAACAAACAATAAATACATCTAAGATTGTTATTGTTGCTAATAATACCATGGTGAATACCTATTGCTTTCTAGCCTAAAACACTCATTTCACTCCAGTGTGTGGTTCATATATGAAATCAAATTTTGGCACTTTCTTCCTGTAGAAGATTTCAGTCTGGCTTGTTTTCAGACATAGACATGAGTTAGTATTCCTGCTTCTCAATTCTTGCCTTGTCCTCGGGGACCAACATTCTTATTTATAATAATCAAGTGACCCTGAAGCACCAACTGTGGCTGTCATCTTTTAAGCATGTAATATTTCTTAAACAGGCAGATGAAGCCTATTCCATCGGCCCCGCTCCCTCCCAGCAGAGCTACCTCTCTATGGAGAAAATCATCCAAGTGGCCAAAATCTCTGCTGCACAGGTAAGAGTTATGAAGATATTTACAATGCAAAAGGAATGTTTTGTGTGATTTACTCAAAATTATTCATTTGTAAAAACTCTTTTCAGTTTTTAGTTGAGAACTTTGCGTTTGACTGTTGAGTTGTCATTGAAAACTTGGAATGGCCCTTCCCATTCCTCAGTCCCTCTACCGGAGATTGAACTCGGGTCCTTGCACTTGCGCAGAAGGCTGCAACACCACTGAGCTAAATCCCCGGCCCTCTACCTTCTTACTGAACCTCTCTCTCTCTCTCTCTCTCTCTCTCTC